CACACATACAGAAACACACACACCGACACCCACACACACTTAATTTTATATAAAGGGATATTAGAGGCTGCAAGAAATCGATGGTATTAGTCACATCTGCAACTTGATACGAAGGAGACTATGCTCGTCAGTGACGATAAATCGGTCAATCCTCCTTGCTGCTCCATGAAATATTCACCTTATTCGCTTTCACTCAATCTCCCATGGGTATTTGAAGGGCATAATCATTCCATTCAACCCTACCACTTTTACAGGATAACCACTCACCGAAGTCTCAGTTAGAACATTGCGGGTGTGGCTGTGGGCATGAGGATGTGCTGGCGGAGCACGCAATAGATGGTGACACACCGTCCATTGCGGGTTTGGCCGGTGCAACCACTGATATATTGACTCTTTCTTCGATTCACGTTTATCGCAACACAGTAATGCCATGCAAGTCAAATGCATCTTCTTCGATTGCAGACACGGTATTGAGTACGCACTAGCGCAACGAGAAGGCACAAAAAAGGTCTTCAAAAAAATTCGATCTTCAAAAATTGTATGGAAGTGACTTCTATGTATGATCCATGAGCTTTCGTTAGGGTATCGTCGTCCCATTGCAATGACAAAGTGGCCGCAGAGTATTGCCGACGAGACAGTCTCCCTGCCGTCCATAGCGATCGAGACGACTGAATCCCGATCCAAGACTGAGGCCGGATGCGTTTCTCCGGATGAAGGCCTGGAAAACACTTGGAGCATTCATTTCGAGTTAATTGCCTATAGCTTTGTAGAGTTTATAGCTTTCTAGAGTTTGATATGCTAGGTCGAATTTAAACTCTTTTTATACTATCAGTATGAAATTGGGAGAAAGATCGAGCTTCCAAACTTTAAGAGAAAACCTTTTTGTGCCCTGGAACTTTTAGTTTTTCAGAACCTGCTCAAATTTCCATCACTATAAAGGCGGCTAGAAATGGTAAAGAGGTTCAGGAATCTATACTAGTTTCTCTTGTAGAGCGGGTGTAAAGGGTGATTTTTTTTAACACGCCCCGCACTTGACTTCCGTCCAGAATCGTAGTGGCACATTGAATGCGATGTGGCCTATGGAATGACTTGCGTTGCGAGCCGATGTACAAGTCTGTGCCTTCATCCTCCCACACGAATCTGGTACCAATCAATCTACCCCGGAGGGATGAAGACTTGGTTGTCCTGAGGCAGTACCGATCCTGAATGCGAACCGCCAACCAGGGATGTGAGATAGGATAGTGGCCCAATCGACACTACACCACCTCGTTCGCATTGTATGAAATCACCTCGTTTGCATTGTATGGAATATACTTGTTCCAAACGTATACAACATAACGACCATACAGGGTCCTTCGAGTACGAGGGATGTTACATGCTCGTCCGAATCCATTGTTTAGCTGTTAAGACGTTAGTATTGATCGGTAACCTTGAAGTGCTCCAGGTATTCAGGAGAAAACAATTCGATTGTTCTGCGGGAGCATATTTAAACGAAGCGGCTTCTTTATGTGTATTGACATCGAATAAGGAAAGGACTACAGTGAGCTGTGCGTATCAGAGCACTGCGATGTCCATTTGTATGGCCAGAATTCCCCAGTTGGGACCAGGTGATCTTTGTTTGTTTTGCGAATTCCCGGTAGAGAATATGCAAAAAGGAAGGACTCGTTGAAGGCGAATTTGGTGGTAATCGAAGGGTAAGTTGGACAAGTTTGAAATGAACCCGTCCTTTCCGTTGAATCTCGGTCAGGGAATGAAATCCCCTATGTTGAAGGTCCAATGGAAGACTGATATCGAAAAAAGGAAGAAGATTCCATCAATCTGAGATCAGATTTGGTAGTAAAATTGGTCTTGCCGATTACCCATTTTTGATTAGAGTATTGGAGAGACAGCATGAAGAGTTGCGGTAGACGCCCATCGAGGAATATGACGATTTTCCGCAAGGATGCCCACTGATGGGAGCGCCAGAAAGCCTTCTAGGAACGGCAGCGAGGGGTGCAGTTTTTCGTGAGCGCAGGCACTCACTCCCTTACTCATGGCGCTCAAACGTGAAATAAAGAGAAACATAAATGTAGGTGAATGTTCTGGGTATCATGAGCTCTTTTTGGCTTTCTTCTACAATGGGCTTACTACTTAGCATCGGCCTTTCCAATCGTTAACTGTTTATAACTGCCATCGCTGCTTATACCTTTGAAGCTGAGCGCATTCCTAGAAGTCACCCACCGAAAAAAGGCCGTTTGATGGAGACAAGTACACTACCACGTCATAGAGTAGTTCATCTCGGTCGTATAGTTGCCTCATAGACGATATCTGCAAAAAATAAAAAAATAATAATCTCGAAGACATAGGGACCCCTTAAATTTACCGCATCATTGCCTGTAGTAATTGTGGAGCACCCTACTGTGAAAGAGAAAAATTAGAATGGAGTTCAACAAGAAAACATCAAAGGATTGAAAAGACTAACGGAGTTCCATCCCTCAGATGAATTTGAGGGATTCTCAGAGGGCAACGTGGGCAATGAAGCACAAAAAGACTGCCTCTAATAGTGTCTTTCACGAGATGGTGTCTTCTTTACTCCCACCCACACCTGGTCGGATGTAAAACCCTCCCAAATTCAATAGTGAAGGCAAAATAGCTAATTTTTTACGTTATATAATAACAACAACACTCATTCATGGTCGGATGTAGAACCTTCCCACATTCGATAGTGTAGGGAAAGCAACCAATTTTTTGCGTTAAACAACAACAACAACAACAACAACGTCAACAGCTACAGATTTCAAAGACAAAGTATACTTCCTCATGAAGGCATACCACGAATGCAGGAAAACAGTTGCTTAGAGGAGTTGTTGCCAAATGTAATTCTCAACCAGGTGATGAAGGTTCAGGAGAAGCGAACCCCTTTGCAACGATTAGCTAGTTCCCTGTAAGTCTAGGAGCGTTGAAAGGCGTTGCCAGTGAAAGCCACCAATGGAGCATTCCATGCGTATTTCATGTCTACGTCGTCTCGTGGAAACCCCTCAAATCTACCTTCAGGAGGGAGCCGTCTTGAAACATCCTCTTGTTAACCAGGGGCTACTTACAGATTACGGCCCAGCCATAGTATCTTCACAGTACTCAATGAATACCGATAGCGACAAAGAAGAGACGAAAAGGAACTTTCAGAGAAATGCATTCTTTTGTGCTTCATGAACGAACCCGATTGTAGAACTGCCTTTGACACTTTTCCATCACACCGCCATTTGTCAATTGTAAATTGAGTTGTTCGGCAAAGAATTCACCGAGTTCCAACTGGACCGTCTGGTTACTGAAAAGGCATTATGTTAGTATTATAATTTATGAAAAAAAGACATGATTCTATTGTTACATTACTAATTTTTACATACTCAACATTTGTCCAATCATATTGACATATGCAATACTGAGATGGTATGGGAAGAGTACGGCAATTTCTGGGTCCTCTCCATTCTCTGAAAAGTGATGATCCTTTGCTTAACGGTTCCATGGAGCGATATGACGTGTTTCGAAACTCGGAAGGCGGTTCCAGCTGCAAGTAGCGCAAGATGTAAGGAAAATAAATTGCGCTTATTTCTCTTTGGGGCAACGAAGGATTCACAAGAAGGAAAGGCTGACAGGGGGAGTACTCATCCTTAACGGCACAGTTCACGATAAAATGGTGTCTGAGATTTCTCCTTAGGATGAATTCCAGGCTCCCTCGTACATATATCATGTCTGACGCTATCAGGTCGGAAAACGACCTAGGTAGGGCGTTGTAAAGGCTCAAATATTGTGTTGTGTGTGTTCTCGTACGAGTTTCACCGGCATTCCAGAGGCTGCACCATACACGAGGGAACTAACGTAGAAGGTTCAAATAACTTGTCGTGACCCATAGCGACAGTGAAAGACAGTTCTGTACAGTTCTAGCTTGATGTAGCTAGTTCTTTGCGCAATTGCAACATCTGAAATCCCGTCCGAATACCCTTTCCATGTTATTTCCGTCATGGTAATCTCGTCCGACTTTTCCTTCCCCTACTTCTTAGGAGCCTTATTTTTTCCGAAATTTAGGAATTTTCTCGCTTCCTCCCTTACCTACGAACTGTACCCAACCTATACCTTTTAATTAAAAGGGGTACCTCAAAATTATCGTGAACTGTGCCTTTAACTGAATCATTGGGTTGTAGCAAATTTTGCCCCATTTCTCCGAACGAAAACTTCCCTAATTTTCTATTTTTAGACCATTTAATGTAGGAATCGAAATGTTGTATACCAGCTTTGCTAAGAAAACGAATGTTTTATTTTATGAAGACTTCATGATGAGTCCCAAGCTTGCGGAGTAGCGGTGACCAAAATTTGCCAAAGCTGCCGTTAGCTCAATCTCCTTTATTCCACGGTAGAAATCTATCGAATCTCGCGTCAAATATGTATTTGGCCTTGAAGCTTTTTCTGAGCTGTTTCGTTCTGGCGCCACCTTTCAACGCTTCCAGGATGGATATAGGTGAGCCGAAGGTAGGCATCGATCCATGGACGGGTTACGATCTCAGGAATTTCTAAGAATATGTTATGCGTATTCAAAAGTAGTGTCTTTTCATAGTTTTGTTATGGAATTTCCCAAAACACTCCCCAATAATCTGAACAACTTAGGAATTCTCGGAAAATATTCCCGTACACCCCATTATGATAGTGATGGCAGCTTTAATCCGTCTGCCACAATGGGAAGCATCCTCATTACTGGATTTAATGTTTACAGTAATATCGGTATTCGAATCCAGTGAAACAGGAGAAATTCGAAATCTGCAAACCTTCAGGATATCCATGAGCGTTGCGTGAATATCGAAGTTGGTCATTAGTTGAAGCACTTTCTGTTTCAGTTGCAAATGCATCGGCGTACTGCGATAAGCAGCAGGAATGATAACCATGAGGAATGGGTTCAAGTTCTCGTACTGACCAAGACGAATATTGCCTATCTGAATGAACAAGCACCATAGCCGAAAAAATAAGGAGAAATAGTATTAGACTTGTCACTATACACCATCATAGTTTTATCAAAGATTGGGGGGTTTGAGAGTCCTTTGAAGTTAGCCCTCGATAAAAGTCTACAATCGCTTTAACTTCCTCTCCACCAATTACGTTGCGAATATAACATCTTCATTCATACCGCCCAGATAAATTTTACTTTGGTAATCATCATATCACGAAAACTGGTGGGACCGCTCTGATTCCATCCCAATGGTCTTCATGGATTTGATGTGCTTTCAGTGAATGCTAGAGCATTTCTGTTCGGAATGAGTATCGAGTGTTAATTATGTTCTGATACTCTCAATGTAGAGGAGCTTATTCTACTGGCATTGAGCGAAGCCAGCTTTGAGGCGAAATAACCTGGGGAAAAGTTTTATCCTCCTGGGAAAACTGATTTCTCCGGTGTTCCTCTGCTGGGTGCATGAATTCGGCTGTTATAGCTGAATGGCTAATTATTACGCCATTTAACATCAGCCGTATCGAATGATCAAAGCTATTCGTTATGTTTTACAGAATCGGACTTCTAATTCAGGTTATCTTCAGCTCTGATTCATAGCATGCGTATCGATGAAACTTTCATAAACCACTCCTTAATCATCGTGATGATATCAGAGATGAAGTCGATTTCGGTCGCTGTGTTTTTAGTTTTATGTAGGGAATCGAACCAGTTCCCGCCCTTAGACAACTCCGTAGTAGAAAACTGGAATAAATCAAAGCAGAGGAGGAATGGAGACAACCATAAATGAAGTAGCGAAGGAACTTCTCAGCTGACTCCCCAATAATCGTTTTTGGCTAATCGGGAAGCATTTTGAAAAAGCAGTGCCCCACATCAGCTTATGTCTGGTCTAGGCTAGTAGATGGTGATGTAACGTAGATATTGAGTAGTTTGGCCAACTTCAGAGGATGCCTGACCTGGTGCGTAACGTAACTACCAGGGGAGGTACCGTATTCGGCAGAAAGAGAGAAGACGCCACGTGACGCTTCACTGCCCTACCGTAGGCGGCAGACAGAGCTTCCGTCACCTTAGCGTTCTGACGACCATTTTTAGACACCCTACGATGCGAAACTGGTAATACCGAGTTATGCTGTTGTTCCTCAATTCGTATCGATTAGCTGTTCAAGCAACCTAATGTGGCAGAGAATTGTGTTGGTCAACTCCCTGTTCAGAAAATCGGGCGTGGGGATGGAGAGAGTTTTTGCTCCATTTAACGATTGGAACCCTTATTTGACGTTTTGAGAGATTGAACAAGGGCGTTTGGACTAGTGTTCGGAATAACACCTCGTTCACTTGGCTTAAGTAAATTTCAAAGTTCAATCAGTTTCTATATGCATGCAAAACTCTGAAAAAACATTTCCTGAATCATCAGTGAAAGTAACTGTTCGGACTCACACCGTCTCTTCGTGGTCCGTGATCGCCCATGAAGAAGAAGAAGGAGCGTTCAATGATGGCACGATTCCTCTGGAAAAATTCGAGGAATTGTACGTCTGCATGGTAGAGATCTTTCAGAGTTTCGTGTGCCAGCGTCGTTGGCCATACCTGGGCAACTTTGGGCGTTCCTTAATAACTTTCATTGAAATTATGCCAACACAAGTGAGCCCAATTGACTGGTACAAGTGAGCCCAATTCACTAGTGTTATAGATAGGGATTGCTCCGAACAGACAAATAAACAAGCAGTACATACANTTGGCCATACCTGGGCAACTTTGGGCGTTCCTTAATAACTTTCATTGAAATTATGCCAACACAAGTGGGCCCAATTCACTGGTACAAGTGAGCTCAATTCACTGGTGTTATAGATAGGGATTGCTCCGAACAGACAAATAAACAAGCAGTACATACATATGTATGTTCCTTTATCTCTTCCTTTTCTAAAATTTCTCTCTGATCTGTTTAGGTTTGGGGCGTCCAGGACGGAAAAGTTATGAACTTTTGAACTCACTTCTGCCTAGCTTACGGTAAGAGGCGAGCACAATGAAAGAAACAAAATGCTTGAGTATGACTACAACTGACAGCAACTGACTGCAGGCAATAAAACTGAAGGAGACCATAAGGACGATTACCGAGAAGTTGGCAGCGATAAATGAAAGAATTTCAGTATCTCAAATCAAGCGGATACTAACAATAAGTGGTCAGGTTTTGGAGAAAGCGATCACACCACGAACCAAGCGAACCTGAGGTGAGAACCTCTCTATCCAGGCATCGTATCCTGAACACTTTAAATTCGATTGCTAATTCAATATGCTGAGGAATTGAGCCGTACTGAGTGGGAAAATTTTATTCGGCTGCACTCCAGTGCGCTATCTCTCTTTGAACCATGCTCAAAAATTATAACTTCTCAGTTTTCTAATGTTGGATTCCAGTCATGATAATGAAGGTCAAAAAGCTACATGAGGTCCTTATGCACTCGTCATGAACGTCTAGAGTGTCTAAAAGGAGGGACAGACCAGACAGAAACCCACTGAAAGGTAAGCACTCCACGCCCTCCCCTTCCCAGTTCTCGCCACCGAGAGCTAAGGCGTTAAGTGAAAAGCGAAGTTTTCAGAGAAATGTGAATTCAGGGAGGCAATACGAAGTGAGTACTTACCCGGGTAGGAATTCATAAACTTCTCCATATAATTCAACATTTCTGTGTGAGGCTCGCTACAGGAATCCCATAAGCCTTTTTTGAAATTCGATGACTCCTTACTACGGATGTCAAAAGGCCTGCAACATGTTGTTCTTGAGATAAGGAGTGATGCTAACCTTTCCATATATCAAACAATAAGGTCTCGAAGGATAAACTCTGGTTCGTTAATCAATCCCGTCTGAAGGATGCGCCCCGTATTCGACTTCCGTTCAGAATCGTACTGGCGGATTGATTGCGTATGTGGCCTATACAAGGACTTGTGATGGCTAGCCAATGTACAACTCAGTTACCCTTTATTCTCCCAGACGAGTCTGTTACCAGCCAACCGACCCTTGAAGTATGTGCGTTTGGTCAGCCTACATAGGTCGATCTGGGAACCTGGTATCTTTGAACCCGTTACCGTGTGTTTATGAGCGGTAGTGCTCCACCTTAAAAATCGGCCCAAAGTAAAAACGCGAAGCTACCGAGCTCAAACCCGCGACTGCGATATAGTGCACCACTCTTGATTCTTTGTAACAAGCACCAGTACAGGGATTCAAGTGAATTGGTCAACTTGCAAGCGTGATTTGAGGGCGGGTGACTGGATATCTTTCAATAGCTCTTGAAAGGTGAATGACAGATCTGCGAGGCGTCCTGGATTGCTTCCATCAAAAGAACACAATCAGAGCCTCGTAAATGATTAGACTATTAATTACCATTTAGAATTTCTGCAGGTCTGCTTTGGAGCCGCAGTAGTATCTTGTTTCAAAATACTCGTTCGAGTCACAAGGGAAACCCGGCGTAAGGTGGGCGATCCGGCTGTATAGGCTATCTGCTGAAGAGTAGCAACGATGAAGATCTCTCGCTTAAAGGCACGATTCACGATAAAAAAAACAAAAAGAGATTTCTGAGTTCTTCTTTTAGGGTACTCAGCGCTCCCCCNAAGAAACAAAATGCTTGAGTATGACTACAACTGACAGCCTCTGACTGCAAGCGGTAAAAACTGAAGGAGACCATAAGGACGATTACCGAGAAGT